GAATCCTAAAAAAATTCAAAGATAAGAATAGCGTTCACAAGTGAATTTATTTCTGTATTTTAACTTAAAATGTGAAACCAATGTATAATAATAACATACAAAGTGACATATGCCAAGGCGTCGGTTGTCATGATTTTGTTGATTATGGCTCACTGTCGATTTTCTAAATTTTTTCTAATTTTCTGATGTTGTACTTGGGGTTTTTACAAGCTCTGAGCACAAAGAAATAGTTTAGTTGCATGTTGAATTACAGAACTAAAATGTACTTTGAACGACTTTTACATTTCCCAATTGTCAACTGTACTTACTTACTAACTAATCCTAATTGTATCTATTATCAAATATTAATTATTTACATGAGAAATAAAACAATATCTTAACAAAGTAGAGCCAAAACATTATAGCACTGCGTCTTCTACATATTCCAACATTCCTACATAGTGTAAAATTCAAATGTTTGGAGGGAAAGCTGACCGTTCCCATGAATAAAAGGGAACTTCCAGTTTAAACAACTTGTGAAGTCTAACAGGTCCCATCCAAGTCTTTATGTGTTGTCCCTCTGGTCTAACAATGACAATAGTTTGACTAAATGCTCGGCAATTACAGGCCTTTAGCCCATTAACACCCCCCTCACTCTCTCTATGTAGATGAGCCATCAGCCCAGGTGCAGGAGCAAAGCAGTCACACTCAATTTACATGTAAAATGGAGGGCTTAGTGGTGGATATGTGTGATCGCAGGTGTGCGTGAGGGGGCAAGAGGGGGGCACGTTGTCACCGGAGCCACTAATCTATTTGTCCTCACCGCACTACTGTTTGCTCTCATGCTGCTGGGTCACTGCGTTGGGGAATTAGATGCTTTGTGGAAACATGATTCAGTTCTCCTTTGTGCTTACAGGTGCTTAGATGGACAAAACCAGCCAGAGTGACATCATGTGCAACTGCAGGCTGCAACTGTATACAACACTTTGTTAAAGACAAAATGAGAGGCGGGATTTGGGGCAATTTACAAGTCATTTCATGTTTTTGTACGTGAAATAATATCTTCAGTAGAAAATGTTTGTTGAAGTAATGTTAATGCTGACGATCTGCCCTGTGTAAAATGTGTTTTGTTTTTCACCAAATTTGAAAATGACTGCACCCACAGCTGTGTGATTGCGTAAATTCACCTGAGAATCAAATTTTTGGGCAGTAAAATGACATTATACTATTACAGAACTGAGACAGGAGCAGAGTTACATGTGTGTAATATGACCAGCTATTTTGGAGCAGACACTGTATAACAGGGGTCCAACAAAAGTATCAGCATTAGATACTGTAGCTGTTTGGCCTACGTGCAGGACAAGCGCAAGACACTACGCAGACTCTGATTGTGCATCCATGTTATGACTTTGATATGCTCTGGGTGTCTCTGAGAATGACACGTATGTCTTTCGATGTGTGACGCATCTGTGATGTAACAATGACTGTATAAATCATGTCCTGCCTTTATTCTTTCTGGAAAGATTGAAACCACTGGAACCTGAGAGAAACCTAATAAACTTCCGGAGCTTTGGCGCACCACAAGCTCTGTCTGTTTCATTCCTGATAGTAAAGCACTTTTTTCCGCTTTTCCATAGTCGCGGTACGGCATGGTACGGCACGGCACGGCCGAGTGTGAGTGCTTTTCCATTTAAAATGGTACCGCAAGTTTCTCCTCAGCGTGGGAGGGGTTGTCAGACCACGTAATTTACGCGCAACGCGTAGCTAGTAACATTGGTCTGATGCGTCACTTTTTGTAATTTGAAATTAAATGTTTTTATTTTGAGTTCAAAACTAAACTTAGTTATTTAAAATACATGTATAGTGTAAATCTAAGTATCAACTCGAAAAAGGAGTAAGGAGTAAAAAAAGGAATATCTGATTAAAATCATGTGCCTAAACATTTATTTTGCCCTTGTGTTTTGATCAAAAATTTAAAAAAAATGTATTTAGCAAATATGTCTCCATCCTTGTTCATAAATGTACCACAGTTATACGAATTTACTGACAAATATAATGTATGTGATGTAAATAGAAGTAAAAGTATGTGGTAGGAAATCGTAACTTTTGCTTTTGAAGCCCTTTTCTGCATGTGTACAGACAAATGAATGAAACAAAGTCCTGATACAATCACAGATTTATTAAAAACAAAAGTAAAGTGCAAAACCAACAGTTTACAAAGTCCAAAGTACGTATGTCTTTGAGACCAAGCCCAGATGAGAGGAAAGTCAAGGACTCCGGTCACTCATTGCTTGTTTATAATCTCCTCACTTGTGGGAAGGGATTCTCAAACAAATAAATATACACACGACAACTTAAGTACAAGCACAAAACAGAATGGCAACACGTGGAAAAAGCAAAATACAACACACTAGCGCTGGAAGAACGTTTTAGCTTAGCTTGCTATCGATAGCTAAATGTAGCTAGCTCACTGTGTACAACAGACAATCAAACTTTTACACGAGTAAATACACTTCAGTGAGAGCTTTGGGGCAACGGGATACGTAGCTAACCAGTTATTTCCAGGATTACCACAGACTAGTCACAAATCAAGAGCGATCTCCCTAAAAACCTCGTTCCATGTTGTGCGTTTGAGCTGCCTTTGAATTCTTTCTTTGGCCTAAAGAGAATAACGTGTGGACCTTGTCGACCGACCAGGGCCTTTTGGGGCTTTCTGTGCGATTCCATTTCTCTGGAGTGAGGACGACGTTATTATAATAGATCCATAGGAGGACAGGCAGAGCAGCCGGTTTTAAAGATGGCGGGGTTGAGTTGTTTTTACCAAAGGGTTGGACATCGCTTCCAGTGACAAGACACGTTGACCAATCAGTGTAAGGCAGTCGGCTGACGTCACGGCATGGTATCGCTTCGGCGCCGATGGCACCACAGTTGAGGTGGTACAAAAAAAGTACCCCCGATCCCAAGCCCAACCCTAGTGGAAATGCAAAATAACCACGCCGTGCCGTACCGTTACTGTGGAAAAGCGGCATTTGAGACTCTGGTCTGTGAAAGGTGCTATATAAATAAAGATTACTTACTGCTAAACAATAATATCTGAAGAACTGAATGTATTTGCTCTGATACTCTGTTACTACGGTATCTATATCTTAAGTATGAGGCCTTTATGTATCAAGTGATGGTGTCTCTGTTCTTTCATTGTTACAAATCATATAAAGGGCTCGAGAACAAACCATGTAGAATCTGACCAGCATGTTTAGACTTTGCTGGGGCAAAAAATGTTCAAGGAATAAAATTCAATGAAATTGCTACACATCATATAAAAAGCCTGTGCCTTCCTTTGTTCAATCTGGAAGTGTGACTGCTGCTGCCTCTGTCATTGTTCTACAGAATTGATGGAGATGCCGGGGATTGAACCTGGGGCCTCATACATTTTTGTGCCAGAAGTTCCCGGATGAATCTAAAATCAACTCCACGTCTGTTATTGATGAGGGGGCAAAGTTGTAACATGGTAAAACCCTAACAAAAAGGCCAATCATGTGTAATATGTTCCCTTTAAAGTAACCAGTCTGATCACATTCTACAGTCAAGTTGTCTTGGAGTCATGACTTTCACAGACACATGTGGCTGTATTTACTTGCACCAAAGAGATGCTTCACTGCTCTGTCATTTGTGTGCACATATACAGTGTGTAGGCCGAGAGGAAGCTGGTGGTGGCACCCAATGTCATTTGGAGCCGAGTGCCTGGCGCCACGCTATCAGTCACATCACTCCCTGGTGCCAGCCTGGGCCTTTATAAGCACTAGTGTGTAAATGACACGCAGCTGGACTCTGAGACAGCTGTCAGTGTGTTTCCCTCCTCCCTCCTCTCTCCTCCAGCAGCCCCACCCTCGGCCCCTCAGGCTGCAGACTTCATGGAGCCGAGGATCCAAAAAGTAACTTCCTGGAGCTGCTGCTGACTTCCTGTTCTCTTTGTTGGACTTCCTGAGGTGAATGTGTGATCAGGCTGCTCTTTCCTGATGCATGGACAGCTGTGTAGATAGTTCCCTCATTCTTTTGTCAGGAGCCTCATTCTATTGCTCTGTCACTTGTTTATGTTGGAATGTGCTGTGGTGACATACGTCTGTTTCTCCAGATTAACAATGTCTTCATACCATAACAATGAGTGACTGATCAAAATGAAAACATGGTAAAACTGAACTTCATGATAGTGAAACCTTTGAAATAGCTGCAATAATCCTGAGATTAGATTACAAACTTGATTTCGGTCACCATTTGATCAGAGATCATCAGGCAACTTCTGATCAAAATTTGTTGCACTCAGAAAAACGCGTGTTTCTCTTTTTTGTAAATAAATGTAAAAAATGAAGTCATACATGATTTGGCTTTACAATTGTCTGAAACTTTGTGTTTATCTAAGATAAGATGAGAGTGGGAACCTTATCTTCCAAACGTCATCAAGATAAGATAAGATAAACCTTTATTAGTCTCACAGTGGAGAAATTTCAGTGTCATCGTTGCACATTACAGCAGAGAAAGGAAATAAGAGCACTCAGATTGCACACATCAAAGTCTATTATTTAAGATAATGGACAACAAATTTAAGATAAAATAAAATAAAATAAGGTAAACTCTGGGCTATAATTGCACTTGGTTCGGAGTATTTACAGATGTCTATATTATACATTAGCAGCAGAGAATAGGAGAATATGAGCAGAATAAACATCAGAAATAATATCAACAGGTTGTCACGTAAGATAAGAGAGCCTTATCTTATGGTACAAGCGAAATCATTGCTTTTTTTATGTTTGTTTTTTACAAAAAACATAAATATGATATTTTTTAACATCTTCAAATTAATATTTCTGTCTGTTAAAAGTCTTTGAATAATTCCCTGAAACTGCAATGAGAGCAGTGAAGCCTTAAACTTGGATAATTAACATGAATAAAAACAGCTGGACCAAAAGCCTGTGCAAGATTACAATAGGACTGATATGAAAGTTGTATGGAATCATGACAGAAGTATGGTTCTCTGTCCTGACACAGGCCTAACAGAGCAACATGGCATCAGAGTTGTGGGGCAATGCGGCTCACCTCGCCTGTGCCTCTGGCTGCAGGAGGAGGAATGCAGTGGGTGTGTGGTAGGCCCAGGTAGCGAGCAGAGACTGGCTCTGGTGGGTACGCCAAGCCCCAAAGCAGCTGATAGGCCCAGGGCTGACCCACAGGCGCATGCTGAGAGAAAACAGGCTACTGCTGAAACATACACACATGATGCTATCACTGCTCAGTCCAATAGATACTTGTCAAAGTGCCCGTACATGTTGCTGTTTCACTGCAAAACAACATCTTATTTCATTTTAAGATATGGTTGGAGCAGGGATAGAAGAAAATGTATAAAATAAACAAATATGGTAAAAGTCTATTTTTGGTTTCATGGTGGACTTGTAGGATCTATCTCTGATAAATTAACTTCAGTTACTCGATTTGTAGCGGATTCTTCAGCATCTGAACACTGTACACCACAGTTCTACAGTTAAATATTATGTGAAGTAGCAGTAGTACATGTATGGGAATATTCAGTATTCCAGATGGCTCATGTGTGACCCACAAAGAGAGGCACTATTCCATTCAATGGCATATTACAAATTTAGAGATACTTCCTTTTCTCGCAGTTCAACACCTGTATAATAGCTCCTCTATAGACTATGGCCCATTGTAGGATGTATATGTGATTAACTATTCAGTAAACAAATGCAGTAAACCTCAGAGCAAGACATACTGTGCAGAATTCTGGGTCACTCTGTCGTGGGTTAAACTAGTTTTAGGTGTTTCTTCTTAAACCATTCAACAGCAGGAACAAGGGGCTATGCTTATTCAATGTGAATGTACTCTGAGCTATGATCTCATGCAGCCTTTTGCATGATTGCAATGATAAAATACAGGAGGCACAGATGTGAACACCCATAACATTCCATGTTCGTTCTATATATTTACATACAATACTGAAACTAGCAGGAAAATTAAAGAAGGATTGTTCATTTGCCCATCGTCATTTCTGTGATGGGCTTACTGCGTAACAGTAGTGTTCTAACAGCCAGGGGACAGAGAAGGCATGTGCACTGGGCTGGTTGGGTCAGTAGTGTCACAGTGTGACTTGTTCTGGCTGTTCCCTGGAGTGCTGAGTGACATCAGAGCAGCAGCCCCTCCACATGTCCTGCTCTTCCTGAACTACTTCTGTGCTCGGGTTCTAGGGGGCCCCTGTGGCAGCAGGTTAAGAACGCCCGGAGGTGTCTCCAAGAGTCAACTGTTAGTGTACACCCCAAGCATATGTAAGCACAGAATAATGGACTGGATAATGGGAGTGGCTCAGTATTGGACCCAGCTACAGCCTGAGTCCTGGACTCATCCCTCCTTACTGTGGTTCTTCTTGAGGTTCTCGCTTTTTGTCCCACTGGGTTGTTGCTGATGAAGGAGGGTCTAAGGTAAGGGGACATCTATTTGTCTTTATGGTGCAAGGTATGTGCTATTTATTTTATTGTTTGATTCTAGTATTTTCTGATTATATGGAACGAGACGCTTTTGTTATTATGTTTTTTTTTTTTTTTTTACAAATCAACTTTATGGTATTACTCATTCTTGAATGTATTTTTCTTTTCATACAGTACATGCACACATATATAGTGAGAAGGTATTATGAGGCTTATCCTCTCTAAGTGAAGAAACTTCTCTTCAGTGAGGATGGTTTAGGGGGAACACAGGGATGAATGTGTAATGAGCTCAAAATAACCCAAACCCTTTTCTCTCTCTTCTGTCCTCCCTCCACCCCCCTCCCTGCCTGTCTTTTTTCTCCTCTTTTGGGAAACATGCCTTTCCCAGCTGCACAGCCCCCACAGCGCGAGGCCAGGCCAGGAGCACAGCTGGCCAGACTTGGTGGAGCCAGTCGACAGGCGCATGGAGCGTAGCCCGCCCAGGGCCCGCTTCCTCCGCAAACATGCCCAGGTGTGGGGCCTCTGAGCTGGGCTTCTGATCTCCACCAAACAGCACAGTGTCTGTGTGCAAGGAGGGAGCGTGGGACGAGGGATCAAGAAGGCAAATGGGAAGGTGGGGGCTATAAGAGGGGTGCCCCGGCCGAAGCTGTGTCAACAGAGTGCGTTAATGTGTGCAAGTATTGTGGGCATATGGGGAAGCTATAGGGTCACCCCAGGGAGAGACAGTGTGCAACATTTACTCTTACTGGGCCTGAATTGTGCTGGAATAGTTGGTCCCTGCCCACTGCAGCTGATGCCAGCTGAGAATGGCACATGGCAGAGAGTGGGCTTGTAATTACTGTGCACTGACTCATTTGACAAACCAAGTGAGTTATCAGCATATAATAGAAAATAAGTGATCACCCCTGGTGTTCTGTTTCGGTTCAACAATGGTTATATTATTAGAGAATGAAAACAAACACCAAACATATGGTTCATGTGGACTGGAGTTGTGTCATATTTTGTTAAACCTTAGTGATGCTTGAGAAGTTAAAGCTGGGATGTGCCTCATCTTTTTACACAGATAATACAAACAAAAATAACATGAGGCTGTCTTCATTTTACTCAAATACATTTCAACTTTTGTAAACTTTATTTTTTATTGGAAATAAAATCAATATATAGTACATACTAAAATAGCAGACAAACAAACAAATGGAAAACAAAACAAGCAAAACAACAAAAATGTCGCTGGCCTTTTTGATCCAAACAACCGATCATAGGCTTTGCACGTAACTCCCATTTCTGGATGGGTTTCCTCCTGGTGCTCCGGTTTCCTCCACCACCCAAAACATGCTCCATATAATAATCCACCAGCTCCAGCCCTGAACAAGCCGAGCATCAACATCTGGAGAGTCCCCAACCCTAACCCATTGTCCTAGTGGAAGGATGGGACAATGCATAGTTTCTCTATGGGACAATAAAGTAGCCAAAAGAATATTCGCCACATCAATTGATCATAAATCAGTTACAATTTGGATTATATTGTGGTGTTATTACTGATTTACCAAGTTGCATGCATATTGTCATATCGCATTTTACAATTTATTCAAGAGAGAGAGAAAAAACAAACAGCATCAGTTATAATAAAGAGCACCTTATGTGTGATAATAAAAGTGTGTTCTGTTTTCAGGACTAGTTTGAAAACTTGAATCAGAACCATGTGCGTCAAAATATGACGCTTTGGGATGATAGCTGATTGTCTGAGAACTAGGCAATCCAACTTTCAATTAGCTTCTCTGTGTGGTTTGAGAATCAGAGCAGCTCTAAGCAAGGTCAGTATAGGATTGTGTGAGCGTTTCTCAGATCTGTTATACATATTGAGCAGCGAACAGTGGTCTTAAAACACCGGAGCGCGTGAGACTACATTCCACATGAATCACTTCATAAATCAGCTTCTCTGAAGGGGGATTCTTTAAGCACAGTTCAGTGTGCTGAATGATTACGCACCACACTGATTTCAGGCTTATGGCTCATATGAGGGCCTGCTTTTAGGCCGGTTAATCGGCATGTCATGCACTGAACGCTGCTTCCACATGTCCCGTGAAACTGTGTGCGCTGGGGTCACATCAGATAAGCACAGGTCAGACCGCCTCAAATGAGCTCTTTGAACATCTCTGCAGTGTGAGGAGACAGTTGTAGCCTCCAGCCGCTGCACATGATGACCGCTGGACATACAGGCGGCTGCGGCTGGCCCCTCTGTGGCCTGTTCCTGTCACTAATTAACTGAGAGAGCCAGGGTGAGTCCTCTGACTGACTTGTCTCTTAGGCCTCGCAGCACAGACAGGATTGCTCATGCATGCATATGCACACGCACGAGTACACGCATGCCTATGCACGCGCACTCACACAAACAGGCTGCTGGAGGCAGGAGGCAGGAGATGGTAAAGGTGGCCCCCTCGTGGCGAAAGACTGAACGAGAGACAAAATTGTCTCATGAGAAGTTGAAGAGTGCACCATTCAAGGACACAGGTGGCAAGTAACAAAATCGATTTATTGATACTTAAGTACTGTACTTAAGTAGTTCTTTACGACCTCCTGACATCATTTTATTTTACTCCTGACTGTTTAACCCTCAATATCTGTACTCACCCCTTACATTTATAAAGGACAAGTTACTTTGCTGATGGTGACACATAATACAAACAGGTTTGAATGGTCCAAACCTAAGTGAATTTACTAATTGTGGTGAGCCATGATTCTACTATTCACCTTAAGTTCTAAAACTTTTCATTGTCATATTCACAGACAGCATGACACATTTCTACAACAGTATTAAGCTAAATGCCTTGTATTTTAAATCAAAATCTTCTCTGCATTTAAGATGTTAAAAACAGGTCAATTTCCCAGTTCCTTAGGAGGTTTGGACTGTAGCCAGTTGTGGCCACATGTGCACACACTTGATATGTAGAGAAAATGTCAGTGTTGCAACGCAGTGAGCACTCAAACATAAGATGAACTGAATGTTTAAAAAACAACAAGAAGCAGTATTTAACATATCTTCAATATATACACTGTATATATGCATGAATATTTAAGTATATGGCTGTAACAAGTTAATCAATTCTCGAATCAATTATTCACATAGTTGTCAATTAATTTAGTAACCAATTCATAATTTTTTGAACCATAGACTTAAACATGCTGAGAAGTGGTTTTATGACTCTGATAATTCTATAATGACTGCAGAATGCAATTTTTTTTAATCCAACAGCCCAGAGTGTAACAAGCTCAAGTGATGTCCCTGTGTTCTCCAGAGGAATCACTTGAGCTTTGTTTTGGCCAAATCACGAATGTTAAAAGAATCCCATACTCACTGATCTTCTGGGATCACTATTGGAATAATCGAAATAATAATTGGCCAACTAATGGATTATCAAAATAATGACATTCGTACACTGTATGTATATGTGAAACAAAACCATGTAATGTAAATGTATCTCCACATTCAAAGGAATGCAAATGTTCGAAAATGCACATGAACGTAACAACTTCTGCCTGAATGAATGAAAATAAAAGAATATTGTATCCACCATTATCTTCAAATCTTTCCATTCACAACAAAACTATCCTCCGTCTAATTGAGCGTCAAAAACAATATGCTGTTGAAGTAGCACCATATTCCCAGTAGCGCGGGTCACAACTCAGTTAACCTCTGCAGGTCAGCCTACACCAGATGCTGTCTTGTGTTTCTCTGTTTTGCCCTGTCCCACTGCTCTATACCGCTGTGTAGGCTGGGAACCGTCCCCTATCTTTCTGTAAGAGGAACAACATTATTAAGATGTTTGAACAAGCCCAAAGCACACACACTCCCATATGTAGTCACAAGAGCCAGACCGTGTGAGTGCTGCTGCCTGTGGAATCTCACCACTATACCAGCAGTGAGTTGAGCAGGATCAGATGCGGATTTGGGTGTGTACACTTGTGAATAGGTGTTTTTTAAGTTGTGTTTTGGGTTGGGAAAGGAAAACGTCAGCTTGCTCACCTGTTCATACACACGCAGGCAAACAGGATGGGTACAATTGAAGGTGCACTGTCCTGACCTCCACATATTTTTGCCCGGGCTCACCTGTTTGCTGAGAGGATGTCAGTCTGGGCTCATCATCTCCAGCATGGCTCACAGCGACGTTCTGTTCTACCTGTTTGAACAGCTGAGGGAAGCGTTGACTTTAGCACTTTGCACAATAGCACTGGATTGGTGGAGACACACACACACACACACACACACACATACACACACAGGCATCCATCTCTATTGCCCTGCTCTTGAATTTGGGTCCTGCACGGTCAGAAGCTTCAGAATGAAGTTTTGCTTTAATAAAACATCAAACCTTTTACACTTTTTTTTGCATTTAATAATAACTTTAATAATGTCAGAATGTACAATATAGAACCACATGTTACTGTCTCTTTACTGAGTTACTTTGTCCAGACCCTCATGCTGCTAACATCTACAGATATTTATATTAATTGCACTACACATACAGAATTTTATACTTTTATGCAAAAGTCAGGGGTTTTTGCACTTAATTCTTGCTTTTTCATTAGGCTAAAGTTGGAGATTTGAAGCCTTTTTTTCTTATTAAGATTTTATGGATTTTATACTGCATATTTTTTTATCCTAGAGCTAGCGAGCTGTCCTTCTCATTCCAACTGTTCTGTAACTTGTGATGCAACACTGAAATTTCACTTAATTTTCTTTGGTAACAGCTCATTCGGCAGGTCGTGCAGGTGAAACTCGGAAAATTAGAATATTGTTCTAATGTTCATTTAATTCTGTAATTCAACTTATTATGCAAAGTGACATATGCCGAGCCTTTGTTGTCCATACTTTTGATGATTATGGCTTACAGTCCATTTTCAAAACACTAATTTTCTGAGATGCTGTGAGCCAATTATCAGCATTGCAACAAATAAAGGCTTGATATATCCACTGTGTGAAGATAAGATAAGATGTGCTTTATTTATCTCACATAGGAGAAATTTACATGTCACATTTGGCATGGATATGAGTCTGTCATATATTAGATTCAGTAAATTAGAAAGTAAGAGTATCCCCTGCGTGTCCAGTTTAAACACATTCATGATAGCTTCAAAAATGAAAGAATATTTATCAAATAATTCTTGATGCACTCATTTGATTCTGGTATTGGATATCTGTGCCGATATTGGAAATATTGTTGGATTGGATGGACTATTAATTGGCTGAACCCAGACGATTCAGCCAAGATTCAATTCAATTTATTCTTGTATAGTCCTAAAACACAACAGTAGTTATCTCAGAGGACTTAACAAAACCATTGAATTTGCAAACACAGATCAGAAAATCAAACAGTTCTACACAAGAAATGCAACTATAAAAACACATAGAGCCATAAGGGGCAGATGACCAATGTCCATAGATGATGATAAAGTTCCATGAATGTGTTGAACGTTGAACATTTACTCAAACAAGTTGTTCTGCAGTTACTCAGGGGTTATAGACCCCTGAGTAAATGCAAGAATTTAACTATAATAAAATAACTTAGGATTTATTTCTATTATAAGGCCAGAAGGACGTGGGTTCAATTCCCACCTCTGCACCTTCTCCATCGACTCCCACTGATGACTGCTGTCGTTGTGTCCTTGGGCAAGACACTTAACCCCACTTTGCCCAAAGCCCCCGCTGAAAGATCAAGGCTATGCTCACACTCAGAGAGCAGCCGTCCTCCTGTGGACTCACCACCTGCAGAGGGTCAGTGAGGGGCTGGTGCTATGAGACTTGGGTGGCATCTCTGACTGCCACCCCCCTGACCCAGAAATGGATTAAAGGGTAGAAAATGGATGGATGGATGGAAGGATTTTATTTCCCTTGGCCATTCTCTGGTATCAGTTCATATCAGGTATCTGCAGATTCTGAAATCCACATCCTCCAATCATCGGTGCATCACTGGACATGATGAAAGTATTAAATCTGGTGGTGTTTGCTTCTATCATCTGTATTTGGCATTTGTCACGTATTTATATATACTATTTTTCAAACCGAAAAGTGAAGGAGAGAGGACCACCCTGTCTCAGCCAATCAGGTCTCAGCCCAAAGCGTAAAAAGTGACAGATGGGGATCTTCCTGACAACTATCCAAAAGACTAAAAAGAAAAAAGCTAATAAGAATCCAGCAGAATCTTTCTGATGAGGCATTTATTATTTATGTAAAAAACAGTGAATCCAGAATTATTCTCTTAAAGCCGCTGATTGTATTATTTTGATTGGTCTAATACATTTTACTTGTTTGTTGTGTTTGTTTGGTTCACTTCAATACAATATTCCTCAATATGGCATCAGCCGTATATATTTTACAACTAAGAATGTTCCATATTATGGTTTTAACTTTTAACAAATATGAAATCATGCTTAATGTGTTTACTGCAACCCCATTTTTCCCCATGTTTAAACAGAGACTATTCCATCTCTTGGTGTAGATTTTGGAGAATTCTTTGTAACGGCTCAGTTTGTTGTCATAGACTACAATAAGTAAGAAGCTTGGTTGTTAAGTGTGCGTTTGTGGCTCACATTGCTTACTATATATGGGCTGAAGTTCCTGCCAACATCTAATTATGTGTTGTAGGCCGATGGGAAAGCATTACACACTCACTCACATCCAAGGAGAATCTGGAATGATGTTGAGTCGTATTGCTGCATGTTTTTGAAGGCCTACCCTTGGTGCCAGTCTGACGGGGGCGTGGAACTGTGGTGGGACCAATTGTAACAGCATGGCGGCTGGCAGCATTACAACACTGAGGCGGTCACTATATGGCAACAACAGAAGAGACAAACTGACCATAAACATAAACACATTACATCAATACGTGACCTTTATTGTAAGTTTAAAATCCAGTTGTGCTTGAAAGTTTGCACACCCATGCAGAAATGTTGGCCGTATTGTAGCGCTTATGGAATGACAAAGAATTCTTCACTAAAATGTGTTATCTATTTTCTGATGATAATGACAACAGAAACTCCTCCTCTGACCCTGATTAGAAGTTTCTATCCCCCAATTCTCAATGGCGTGTATTGCCCCTTTAACGTCCATGCCGGCTTGGAGTCTTTTGTGGTAGTTGTGGATGATTTTCTTTATAATAATTTTGCATTGGTTTTATATCCTCTCTGATGGTAAAGCTGCCCATTCTTCCTGTTCCAGAAAGAGATCTCCCCCGAGGGATTTATTGGTTATAATCTGAAAATAGAAAAACGTTTATTTGACAATATATGGCTTTACATAATCCAGGAGAGGGAACATGTTTTTGTGGTATGGCTAAAACAATTACATCTCTGGTTCTGTTTGTAAGCTTTCAAGCACAACTGTACATATGAGTAGAACCCGGAAGTACGATCACTTAAGTCCAGTTCCCAAGGCCTAACCCTAACCCTCTGCACTGGCTTCCTGTGGCTCAGAGAATGGACTTAAAGGCAGCTCTGCTTGTGTACAAGTCTCTCGCACCAAAGTATCCGAAACATGTTAATGCCATATGAACCAAGTCTGACTCTGAGGAGCACAGGGACTGGCCTCCTGCTGGTGTCCAGGGTCAGCACTACGGGAGGCAGCATTTCAGATTTATGCAGCTAAAATCTGGAAAAGTCTTCCTGACAATGTGAGACAAGCTTCTGTTCTAACATTGTTCAAATCCAGGTTAAAAACTGTGCATACAACTGAAGGATTATATCTTCACTTTTAATATAATGTGATTATCAATTATTTGGTTTTGAGTGGCCTTGTGTATGAACTGTGCCATACAAAAACTTGCCTACATGATGAAATATTGCAGTAGATTTTTGTGAGTAAATAATCTGTCTATTTTATTGTGAAAAGTAAATATGTGGTCTTCCAGCTTCAACCAAAAACAAATGTCATTGAAAAACACTGTTCCAACTTTTCATATCCAAACAATGCTTTTCATTCAAATGACCTCAAAATAGCCATTTAGCCTGGTGTGCTCTTGTCTAACTCAGTTCAGTCCTCGTCATATGGGAACCAGGGAGGCTCCTCCAGATGTGAGGCGGCCCAGTGGGCTGCGGGCGCCCGTCTGTCGCTGGCCAGCCTGTTGAGGGGGTCCGGGCGGAGGGGTTTGTGGCCGTGGAGTAGCCTGAGGCCTGGCTGGGCTGATTTACAGGCGCTGTGGGGACATGTGTGGAAGATACTCCCAGAGCAGCCTGGTGGGGGCCTTTAGCCACAGTGCTGCTGCCTGAACATCTGGAGTCTAGACTCAGTGGCTCTGCTCGGAGCCTCACTCCTCCCTCACTGCTCCACAACCAGAGCCACGATCGGCCTCAGCTGCTGCTCCCTCCCTCTTCTTCTGTTTGTGTAGCTGCTGGCCTCCACTGAAACCTTAGATACACACCTCTCAATCCTCCCTTAACACCCATGTACTTTTCCCATCTCTCCTGGTGACCCATAAACACAACTGATTGACACAATAGTTTCAACTGAACTTCAGAAATGTGCTAAAATCCTTATTATCATGACCAATCTTAGTACACTGAATCCATTTTCTGGTGCCTAAAATGTGCTTTGAGGGCTGCGTCAACACTTTAACCCAAATGATAGAACACTCGGTTTGAAATTGTTCCATGAAATTGTTAGGACTGTTGCACTTATCGCCAAAATAAAGTATATTTTCAGGCTTAAGTTTTGGCTAAAAATAAAAAACAATTACCATTTGTACATAGCGTTATGAGTGAACAAGTGAAAGAATGAGTTAGTGAGTGAAGATATCATTCCCTTTTTATTATTGCATTGACTTATTGTAGAATAAAGTTCAAAAACATCAGCTGCAAGCTTTGTTTTGTGACTCTCTCCGACTGCATTGTCCCTTTAAACCAGGGGTGTCAAACTTATTTTGGTTGAGGGCCGAATAAAAAAAGAAAAAGCTGGTCAGGGGCCGAAAAGTGGGTTTAATTCATAATTTTTTTTTGGAATATGAAGGTATCTAAATAAATGCCTTGTTTCACATTAATTAGATTGGATATTCTATTCTGATTAGAATTAGTTCAGTTTCTTTGGACTGAACCAAAACTGGACCAAATATTGAAGGTATATTGGAAGATTTTATACTTTTGAGTGGATCATCAAGATTATTGCTCCTCCCAATTGTCAATCATTCTGATGATTCGTGCTCGTCAAATAAGACCAGAGAGATTTGTTCAAAAAGGGGAGAGGGCGGTTCTTTCCTAAGAAAATTGGGAAATCCTTTATTTCCATGGGATTATTTAAAATGTTATGGTTGTTTTCTTCGTAATGGATAACATGCCATTGTCGCCTAATACCATTTATGCTGCTATTTCATATAATAATTCAAAATCATCTCAAGGGCCACTGGAAATGGTCTCGCGGGCCGGATCTGGCCCCCGGGCCTTGACTTTGACACCTGTGCTTTAAACTGAAATAGAATCAAATAAAATAAACATAAAAAATGTATGAAGCTTCTGAAGTGCACCAAGTCCGCTTGAACACAGCCCAAGGTTGATCAGACTAAAAAAGCAGATATCTCTGTTCGGAAAAAGTGTATTCCTCTACAGTTACAGATATGAAAGACTTTGCTCAGGGTGAAAACTTTTACACTAATATGAATACATGGCTTTTCAATGGTTCAATTGTAAGCATTTCACTTATCTATTTGTAATGACAGTTATGTTTTTGCAAATGAAGTCTTTTAGCCAAGCAAAGCTCATAATTCTACTGGTTGTAACATGATTAAGAAGACAGTAAAAAGCACTAAACCATTCCATGTTTGTCTGTTCTTTCAGTGTTTTCATACACACACGTCATAGGCACATATGGAAGACATGATTGTTATTCCTTTCCCCCTGAAATCCTCCGCTCTGAGTGTTCACAGGGGGGCACTCCGCTGATCTTTCATGGAATTGTGGCTCAGGCTGTCGAGCCATGGAGCGGTCAGGTAAACATATTGGTCCTGACATCCATAATAAACAGCAGAAGGAAAGACAGCAGGCTCACTTATCTTTCACAGCTCCTGTTGGGCCACTGTCAAGACAAATGTTCCCTGTTCTGTTCAAATAGTTATCCAGTATTTTCTTAGTTGATACTCGTGAGTTGACTCTTGATGCTTGTGTGATCCTTCTCCGCTTGTCCCAGTCTAGTGTGCATCCCCTGTGAGACTTTTCCCTGGGGTCCGGTGCCTTTGAGTAGGAGTCATGTGTGTCATATCTTATTACAATGAAATGATTTATGAAACTTTCTGCTTTGGGAAAGTTCTATGATCAGACTTGTTTCTGAGAACTGTCGATTAAGTGAAATGAATGAAATGAGTGAAATAAAATTGCTAGAGTGGCTGTATACATGTTCCTGCTCAACCACTTAATGCAGCATTGTCTACCATCTTGCACCTTTGACAACCTTTACTTTGTGTTTATCTTATTTTCTTTACTTATCGGTTGGGTTTTTATTGTTATTTGTGTAAGTATGGTTTTTATGATTATTTTTGTGCAGATGCCAAGTCTCTCTTTTTAACTGCAAAAATATCACCCCATTGGTACAAATACAGCCACATTGAACCTAGAAACTTGAATTTTCAGCTGTATATTCTTTGTTTAATTTGTATTATCATTACAGCACTTTAAATACACTTTATTCAGTATCTGTTTAAAGCTCCTCAAATGCTCAGAGTGGGTAAAACAGTATCATTATCAGCTGATAGTGATTAACTCCTGCTGCAGGCTCACTCACACATTGGTTTTCCATACTGTACATTGTGAGTTCCTACTCCAAATAATAAACTTTTTACTGCCTTGTTCAGCTTATTGCATAAACAATATACTGTTCAGTGTAAGCTGTGTGTGGTGTTAAATAGGTCATAACAATGAGCTACTTGATACTCTCCAACAAGGAGTCAACCTGCCCGCCTGGCTGTCGCCTGCCTCGCCCTGCTCTCATGGAACAAATTATCTATGTTCCTTTAGAACAAGCTATTATTTAAGCTGCTGAAAAAAGACGAAAGAGCACTGGGAGAAATGAGACACATGAGAAATGCACACATTTTGACAAGGAAATAAGAGTCAATGTGATATGCATTGCAAAGGTTTTTGATGATCATTTGTTTATGATGAAGTTATGAAGAAGTTATGATGTTATGATAGAGGTTATGTTTTATTGTCAAGCCATCTGCCTCATCAGTTGTGGTGGTTGACAACGTATCTCACATGAGTCCCTAAAAGAAAAGGAAAGCCTTAGACTAGACAAGAGACACTGCTCTGCCCCTGTCACCTGCCCTGATCCCTGACGGCACCAACAATCAGTGTTATACAAATACAGCTCTAATTGGACAAAGAGATGATTTTGTGACAAACTGACAAACATTTTCAGCGCATTGTTATTTCCATAGTTTTGTAAGATGATCATTGAAAGCTCTGTGTGGGTATTGAGTATTTTTACTGCACAGTAAAATTCAAATTAGAATGAGCTCAAGGCTGGCAATTAAAGATTGCATCCAATGACACCTTCAAAACAGCCACAAAAATCCTTGTTTATTGCTGTGCAGAGAACGATTCTGTTTCTCAACACTGTCATCTGTGTGGAGTCTTGCTCGAGTTCAGTCTTGCACTACAAGACTCAACAGTGACAACAATCATCCGCTCCTGAATCTCTCATCACACTGATGCAGCAAACTGCTCCAGGATGTATTCAGCTCCAAAAGTGCATCTGGAAAGGGAAAAAAATGAATGTCTACAGCTCCTGCAGATTCTTAAAACATTGAAATAGAAAGTGAAGGGCAGAAATTCAGTGGTTAGAATATCATAAAACATCATGATGCATTGAATATTATAAACATACAATGTATGCTAGAAGTGAGAAAACAAGGCAAGACAAGGCGAGGCAAGTTTATTTGTATAGCAAAGTGCTGAACAAAACAAGAAGGAAACAGTCACACAGTACATTAAAAATAAAGATAAATGCAATTATAAAATCCCTCTGTTGTCTGCACAGCTGAGAACTGTTTTTAACCTGGTTTTAAACATTGTCAGAGAAGAGGCCTGTCTCACATGTTCAGGAAGATTGTTCCAGATTTTAGCAGCATGAATTTGAACTGCAGCCTCCCCATGTTTAGTTCTGACTCAGGGCACCAGCAGGAGACCTGTCCCTGTGCTGCTCAAAGTTGGTTCATTTGGGACTAACATGTCACTAATGTGCATTGGTACGAAGCCATGGAGAGACTTTCATGCCATTACAATTATGATCATATGTTTCAGACAAACAAGAAAAAGAGTTTTAGATAATATAGCATCACATTAGTATACAGCTATAATCAAAGTATATTGGACTGATGATTTACGATTAACTTCAAATGTATTTATTGTTTAGAGCTTTTTATCCACAGATTTTCTCTTGTTTTCTGGTTTTACATCTGTATGGATAATGTTATTTATTTAAACAACCAGGATGTTATGTTAAAAGTGAAGTCACAATGCAGCCCAGAGACCACTCTTCAAATAAAGAACAACCCTTTCACAAAGTTGCATGTCCAAAAGCCACATAAACATATATATTTGAGTAAGTTTGAGGTTATTGCACAATTGGCTTAATCTAGGCGTTGGTGAGTGATTTATCTGGCTTATAGGGCAGCATTGTCAACAGAGGCCAGCCCTGTGTCCCACAGGGAGAGTCCAGAGTACACCCTGCTGCTATCAGCTGAGCGTGTAGAAAGTTAGGCAAACAGACCATTAAAGTAAGCGCTGTAGACAATGATGATACAGTCCCTTCAGACCGCGTGCAAGACAACGTTGTAATAAGTACCATTCTGTGGTGGTTGGACAAGGATTTGACTTAAACTTAAGCTGCTGTAAAGTTGTAAACATGCCATTAATTTAAAGCTGGAGTTCCTAACTTTAAATGTTTAAGAAATAATAAACAACATTTTGCTAATCCGAAAGAGTTGAAAAAGTAAAATGTTGTGAACAACATCATGGTGTCTTCATCTTGTTTGACAACTTGTATCTTGTGCAAACATGTAAGAAAGAACTCTATGAGTCGATGTTGGACACTTTAAGCTGAGAGCTGATTCAGGGTTCTCTCTGTTTCAACATATGTATACATACTGTGTATATATATATACATAAATATATACTGTGTACTGACTGTAGGCACATTTTACCATCTAAGAAGCTGCCTCAGTCCTGCATCGCGTGGCTCTGGTCCTCGTTCTACGGCCTGAGTTCCGGATCTATCTCAATCCCTCCCTCAATGTGGGCCTCCCCGAGGTTTCTCACTTTTCTCCCACTGGGTTTTCAGAGTTTTTCCTTGCTGATAGTAGTGGTTTTAAGGACAGTGGTGATGATCCAGGACACTCGACATTCATGAACATTTAGTAA